ATCAGTTCCATGGGTTGATATATTATCGTTTTTTTTTGTAGCCTGAAGAGCTTGCTTAATTGTGTCTTTAAAACAAACTCTTTTCTCTTCTTTTTCACCAGTCCATGACTTTCTTCAAGCCCTGGCTCAAATTCTCCTCTTCCAGGAAGCCTTCTTGAATCACCCCATCGTGTGATATATATCATTCAGATTACATTACCTAGTGCTGGTTTTGTCTGTAATATTATAAATGTGTTGGGTTCTCCCAAGTAGCGAAGGAGCTTCTTCCTTCCGGAGGGCGGGAGTGTGATGTGTGAGCAGTTTCTGCACACTGGGATGGAGTGAGTGAATGTGTGAAGACGTGGGGGCCTGTGTGAGGTCAGAGCAGAGGTGATGTGTGTGCCTGAGTGTGTGGTGAGCGAGCGTGCACAGGAAGGAGCAGAAATGCAGGCTCCTCAGGCAGCAGCACCAGTTCAGGGACAAGTCCCTGCAGGGCTGGCAGGAGTGTCCCTGCCTTAGCCTCGAAGCCCAGGCACATGTGTGGCAGGAGGACCCAGCAGTACCTTCTGCACCCAGGGGCTGGGGCCTAGCACTGTGGTCTTGGGCTGGGACTTGCTTTATCATTATAGCTCAGCGTTCTCTTTACCCACAGAGGATTAAGCCCCTTCCTTTCTGCCTCCCCAGTGCCTAGCCCAGGCCCTGGCCTGTTGTCAGAGCCCAGTGGTTAGAGTTCAAGGAATAAATGAGTGATCTGGATCCCCTCCCGCAAGTAGCCCAGGGAGGAAGTGAAGACAGCCCTTCTCCAGTTGGGCACGTCAGATGCTCTGCAGGTGCTGTTTTCAGAACCCCCTCCCTGTGCTCTCTCTCCCTCTGGCTCTCTGTAGGTTCAGGTGTCCCTGCCTGAGACAAGCGCCGCTCCCTCCCCTGCACCAGCTTACAATCTGTTAAATCTCAACTTGGCCATGGCTTCCCCAGGAAGCCTGCCCTGCACATGCGCACACACACTCTGGGTAGGTGCCTCTTCCAGGGGCGCCACAGCAGTGGTCCTGGCATTTACAGAAATGCTTATCACGTTGCATTTTAAATGCCCATTTCTCACCACCATGCCCCCATATTGGAGCCCCCAGGGCTGGGACCATGTCAGATTCTGTTTTGGTTTTATTCCCACTTCCTGGTCTCCGTTTGTTCATTTATTCAACAGCAATGTATTGAATACCCACGAGTGTGCCAGGCACTTTTCCAGATGCAGGAGCTATGGCAGCAACAGTGATAGAGGAATTTCCTGCCCTCCTGGAGCTTCTAGCTTAGTGGGGGAGAGAAAACAAGTAAAAAAATACTCAAAACAGATAATTTCAGTGACAGTAAGTGTTATAAACAGAACAAATCAGGGCTTCCCTGGTGGCGCAGTGGTTGAGAGTCCGCCTGCCGATGCAGGGGACACGGGTTCGTACCCCGGTCCGGGAAGATCCCACATGCCGCGCATGGCCGCTGAGCCTGCGCGTTCGGAGCCTATGCTCCGCAACGGGAGAGACCACAACAGTGAGAGGCTCGCGTACCACAAAAAAAAAAAAAAAAAAAAGAACAAATCAGGGTGATGCCGCGAGAGAGCCCGGAGCGGTCAGAGAATGCTGCTTTAAGGAGGTGGTGCTTGTGCTGAGACAGGCGAAATCTGGGGGGAGAATATTCTAAGGAGGGGAAGAGCTGCAGAGCTCCCCGTAAGGTGGAACGATGTCCTGCTCCCTGAGTTTGAACAATAGGCTGATGGCTGATGTAGAGAAGGGGTGGTGAGAGAGGCCGGGAGGGGCCCTATTTTGTACAGAACTACAGGCCACGGTAAGGAATCCAGATTTTATTCCAGTAACCACAGGGAAGTGACATGATCTCATTTACTCTAAAAATCACTCTGGCTGTGATGGTAGGCTAGATTGTAGGGGACAAGAGGATTGGGAGACCCTAACAGCCATGTGGGTGAGACTGCGGCAGGAATGGAGATGGAGCAGAAAAGAGGGATCGGGATATATTGAGATGAGTTCACAGGACTTGGGGATGATGGTGAGAGGCCATATTCAGCCACGTGGCTGTAGGCACAGACGAGGCAGAGAGTTAAGATACATGGCCTTTGGGTAACCCAGGGCTGGGGCCTGAGCAAGAGGATGAAATGTCCCGATGCCCCTGACGACCTTGGCCGCCGTCAGCCGAGAGCTCTGTCCCACCACTGCCAGCCCCTGGCGTGTTCAGCACTGAAGAAACACCAGCCCCTTCAGTGTCTGGGGGACCACCTGGGGATGGGCTAGAAGGGTAAGGTCGTTGTATCGAATGCTCACCTCTGCTCACCCAACCCTCTTCACTCCCCCCCAGCACAGCCTAGAGTAACCACTCCCACGTGGAGGACCTGGGAACACAAAGATAACACGGGGTGGGGCTGGGCCCTGGCCCCCAATGTGCTTGGAAGACAAACAGCCCGGCCACAGAGAGCTTCTCAGAGGAGTTCTATTGGGGCGCGTGTGTGTCTCCTTCCTTGTCAGGCACCCGCCCGCCTCTGGAGAAAGGGCTACTCATCCCTCACGTTAGTCATAAATCCCTGTGCAAACCACGGGGCCTTTCCACAGCTTTCCCACCCACCCTGGGCCAGAGCCTAGCACAGAGTCTGGGTCAGAAAGATGCTTCGTAGTTTCTGATTGAATAAATGAATGAGTGGACACATCAGGGCAACCATCCGTCAAGGGATGAAAACCCTCGCTCAGACCTGGCTAGACTGACCAGCCCCTCCGCCATTGCCTCCCTGCAGCGCAGCCGGGGTGATCAAAAGCGGCTCTGGCAGAGCCGGAAGGTCTCCCGGTACAAGGGAAGTTTTTCCTGGAAGGGCAGGGAGGACAGACAGTGTCCTCGGGGGCTGAGGAGAGAACGCAGGCCCTTTCCTTCCTTGAGTCTGGTACAAAGGGCCTGGTGTTAATTCAGTTCTGGACACTGTGGTGGGCACCAGCTTGACCACCTTCTCTCATGACCTCCTGGTCGTGACCCCTCGATGGCCAGAGTAGCCTCCGGAGCCCTGGCCTCTGCTCCTCGCCAGCAGTGGTGAGGCTCTTGACCTCAGACTAGGACCCTCCTAGCAGAACGGCCACCTCAGCGACTGCAGCATCAGAGGTCAGCCAGTCAGGGGTCATGCCGAGAAGACATTGCTGCTTCCAGCCAGGCTCACAGCCTGGTTCAGGCTGAAGGATGTACTGATGAAGACCTGGCCCTGGGGGCCCGGGCCTGCAGGCAGATGGGCCCTCACACCTGTCCACTGGATCCTGCACCTGTTCCCACCTCTCCCTTGCCTCCAGGATCCTCCTGAATGCCCTGGTCAGCTAGACGAGGAATGGAAACCATAGCTGGATTTCTGGAAGAATTTGGAGATGCCAGCCTCAGGGAATACTTGCTGAGCCTTCCTGAAGGGGTTCTCAATCTGGCCGGGAGCCAGAAGAAAGAATAAGGCCACGTGGGCTGAGGGTCCAGAAGCAGTACAGCTGGGGGCACCCACACCTGGCCCCAGGCCCCCGCTGAGGGGCTAACCAAGCCCTGCTGCGCAGGTGCAGGCCCAGCTGGCAGGCTGCTGGCCAGAGAGGGGTCTAAGTGCCAGGGACCCCTGAGAGGGCTGTTGGTCTGGCTGGGAAGGAGCCGCCCTACAGGAGACGGTGAGGGTGACCCCACCCCAAATGTGAGGGCTGGAGAGGAGCTTGCCCCTGCCTAGCAGGGCCCAGGTCCAAGGAAATACCACCCGTGAGGAGGCTTTGAGAGGAGTTTCCAGGACAAGCGAGGTGAGTTATTAGTACCAGTGTCCTGGGGGCGCTGTAACGAAGCACCACAGCCTGGGGGACTTGAACAACAAAAGTTTATTTTCTCACAGTGCTGGAGGCTGGAAGCTCAAGATCAAGGTGTCAGGAGGGGTGGTTTCCCTTGAGGCCTCTCTCTTTGGCCACCTTTTCACTGCATCCTTACATGGCCTTTCCTAGTGTCTCACCCTCTTCTTCTTCTTCTTTTTTTTTTTTCGGTACGCGGGCCTCTCACTGTTGTGGCCTCTCCCGTTGTGGAGCACAGGCTCCGGACGCGCAGGCTCAGCGGCCATGGCTCACGGGCCCAGCCGCTCCGCGGCACGTGGGATCTTCCCGGACCGGGGCACGAACCCACGTCCCCTGCATCGGCAGGCGGACTCTCAACCACTGCGCCACCAAGGAAGTCCTCTCCCTCTTATAAGGGCACCAGTCAGATTGTATTAGGGTCCACCTCATTTCACTTTAATCACGTCTTCAAAGACCCTATCTCCAAAAACAGTCACATTCTGAGGAACTGGGCGTTAGGCCTTCAACATACCCATTTTAGGAGACACAGTTTAGTCCCTAACAGCGACTATGGTCCCTGACTGTGCATGTTATAGGGAAATGCACTGCTGGACCCAGATAATAACAACGCCAACAGCAGGAGGGACAGTTCCTCCCGTGTGCGTGTGTGTGTGTGTGTGTGTGTGCGCGCGCGTGTGTGTCTGTGTGTGTACTCACACATGCATATGTACACAGCAGCCTGCTATTCACTCAACAGGTCTGCTTCCCTTGGCTCACTTGATATTCCCCAGAGCCTCAAAGAAGGACAGGCATTATAGGCCCATTTTACGGATGAGCTGACGAAGTTGTCCAGGTCACACAGCAGACGAGGGGCAGCCCTAGAACCTCTATCCAGGCCGCCTTGGTGTCTGGGGTGTTCCCTGCCCCATTCTTTCCAGTAAGGTCGTGTCCCAGGATCTCACCCCTCACCTCTGGAAGAACGCCCACCAGTCAGCTGTGAGTTCTCCACCTATGGGATGTAGGTGGCAATCTGCTGCCTGGACACGAAGTGATTCATGAGGCGCCCAGTTTTCTGGCTAATTGCGTGTCTTATCTCCCTGACTCACTTGATTTTTAGGCTCTGACAAGCTCAATGATTTGCCAGGGTCTGACAGGTCCTTGGACCCAGAGGGCAGGGCTCTGTCCCCATGGGGCGCACCTCCCCCGGAGGCCCTGTGCAGGCTTCTGGACCTCCCTGAGCTGGCCCAGAACATCCGGCCTTGGCTACACCCTGAAAAGCCTCTGGCCCTGCTCTCCAGGGGCCTGTGCCCCTCCCGTGCCAGTGAACCTTGTGCTGCTGGGGCCCCACCTCTTGGTAGAGGAGCTCAGCTTCCCAGGAGCCTCCTGAGGAGGGATGGCAGCTGTGGCAGGTAAGGGCGAGGACATGGACGGATGCCAGGAGGCCAGAATGCCCAGTCTCCAGGACGCCAGCCAGTTTCTATGGAGGCCACGGAAGCTCTTCTTTGTTGTTGTTTTTTTAATTTTTTTAACATCTTTATTGGAGTATAATTGCTTTACAATGGTGTGTTAATTTCTGCTTTATAACAAAGTGAATCAGCTATATGTATACATATATCCCCATATCTCCTCCCTCTTGCGTCTCCCTCCCACCCTCCCTAAGCCACCCCTCTAGGTGGTCACAAAGCACCGAGCTGATCTCCCTGTGCTATGCGGCTGCTTCCCACTAGCTAGCTATTTTACGTTTGGTAGTGTATATATGTCCATGCCACTCTCTCACTTTGTCACAGCTTACCCTTCTCCCTCCCCATATCCTCAAGTCCATTCTCTAGTAGGTCTGCATCTTTATTCCCGTCCTGCCCCTAGGTTCTTCATGACCATTTTTTTTTAGATTCCATATATATGTGTTAGCATACAGTATTTGTTTTTCTCTTTCTGACTTACTTCACTCTGTATGACAGACTCTAGGTCCATCCACCTCACTACAAATAACTCAATTTTGTTACTTTTTATGGCGGAGTAATATTCCATTGTATATATGTGCCACATCTTCTTTATCCATTCATCTGTCGATGGACACTTAGGTTGCTTCCATGTCCTGGCTATTGTAAATAGAGCTGCAATGAACATTGTGGTACGTGACTCTTTTTGAATTATGGTTTTTTCAGGGTATATGCCCAGTAGTGGGATTGCTGGTCATATGGTAGTTCTATTTTTAGTTTTTTAGGAACCTCCATACTGTTCTCCATAGTGGCTGTATCAATTTACATTCCCACCAGCAGTGCACGAGGTTCCCCTTTTCTCCACACCCTCTCCAGCATTTACTGTTTGTAGATTTTTTGATGATGCCCATTGGAAGCTCTTCTTTGAAGTGGCTCTGCCTGGTCCCACCTGGTCAGAGAGCCTTGACCAGCCGTCCTTACCCCACCGGCCGAGGCCTTGCTGGGGTTTCCTGTTGGAAAGCTTCATCTAGACACTTCCAAGGATCTCAGGCTCTCCTGTGTGTGCTTCCATGGCCATGGTGGATGGGAGGCCAGAGGGCAAGTCCTTCCTTGACCTGGCCGTGGCGGATAAGGGGTCCCTGGGGGGAGGACTGGGGCCCGGAGAGCTGCTCATCTTTGACTGTCAGGTTCTTCCAGCCAAGCAACAACTTAAGGGCCTGGAGCAGGGGCCCTAGAGAGTGTCCTCTGGCAACTTTGGGTCTGATCATGCCAGCCGGTCAATGACCATACGGGCACAGCCCCCATGACAGCCAGAATGGCTGAGGCTACCTGCAATCTCTTCTCCTAATCAGCCCCAGGGATTAAGGCTCCTTCTAGCACAGACCAGGACTTAGTGACCAAGGACTGCACACTGCCAGCTGGATGGCCCCTCAGGACCACTCCGTCTAGTCCTCTCATTGACAGAGAACTCACTGTCAGCTCCCGGGGCTCTGCAGGGTTTGCGTGGACGGCCGCTGTGCCCTAAGGCAACCACAGCGTCCTGACATTCGAGCAGAAGTGCAACCGTTGAATGAATAAACAAATTCAGGTCCTCAGGTAGTTTAAGTACACCCCACCCCACAACCAGAGGCCATGTTCAAGGACTTGGGATTCAGTTCATCACTGCCGGTGTCGGGGGGGACACCTCTCTATTTCCACCAGGAGCCCAGGGGTTTGCCCGGATGGGAAGATACTGCAAGTCTGTCCTGGGCCCACGGCTGTGAGCGTGGGACCTTTCAGGACATAGAGAGGCATTGATTGCCTGGGCCCCGTCAGCAGGTACCTGAAACCGCCTGGTTCCCCCCAGGCCAGACCCTGAGGCTCTCCGGGCTCTGAGCTGGGGCGGCAGGGAAAGGCGCTGCCTGGGGCCTGGCCCAGCTCCAGGGGGAGCGGCATGGGAACATGGCCTTTAGCCCCTGCTGGGCCCCGTGTGGGGGGAGCTGGGTGTGCGGCGGGAGCCATCCAGGGCCCAATGCCAGGGTGGCCTCTGAAGGACATTTCTGCGCCAGCCAGGCCTCCAGTCGTCCACAGCAGCCACTTCTGCTGTCATGTGTCCCTCTCTACCGGGGCTTCCAGGACTCTGTCCCTCGTCCCCATGAGTGGACACGGGCTGTGCCACCACCCCTCCCAGGGGCCACTCCTGGCCCACCTGGAGAAGCGCCAGCTGCTGAAGTAGAGCAAGGCCTGCGAAGGACGGGAGGTCGGAGAGCCCTGGGTCCAACAGGCCCATCGTCTCCTCCCTCCCGCTCTTTGGGAGAAGGAAGTTTCCCGTGTTTTGACCCCTCGGGGACTGTGACCGTGGGGCGGGAGTCCTGGGCTGGGTGCTCGCATCTAAGGGCTGCGAGTGGCAGCCCCGGCCGGGGGCAGCAGCAGCAAGTGGGCCTGTTCTGCTGGAAATTCTTGGTCAGGCCTCTCCAGAGCCCAAGGCCAGCAGGAAACCTGCCTTTCCTGTCCAGCGCTCCTAGCCCTTGTCAGGCACCCTGGGTGAGGGCAGGGCACTCTCTCCAGTCCTCACACAAAGCTCTGTTGGGTTGGGCTCCCAGCAAACACAGGTCTGGCCCCATCAGGCCAGCTTGCGTTTTCCTTCTTCTCTCCTGTCTGGGGCAAGGAAAAGTAGTTGATAGTCTTGGGTTCAGATCCCTGTCCTGCCCCTTCCTGATTGAGGCCCGGCGCAAAGCCGTTTCTTATTTCCTCTTCACTGAACCAGATTTCCTCAGGGAAACCGCCGCCCTCCATGGCAGGTGCTCTCAGTGGGCTGAGGGAGGCCTGCCCTATGAGCCAGGCAGCCTGGGGGTCCAGAGACCCATCCAAGCTCGCACTGGAAATTTTGCTGACTGTGCAGGATCCTCCACACTCTGGCAGGGACTTGGTCAACCTGTCCTCAGTGTCCTGCCCTCTCAGGGGTCCAGGACAATAATGCCAGCTCATCATGTCTCCCGCGTGCCGAGGGCTGAGGGCTTCATGGCTAAGATCTCGAATCCTCCCAACAACAGGCAGATAGGTTTTTTTTTTTTTGCGGTACGCGGGCCTCTCACTGTTGTGGCCTCTCCCATTGCGGAGCACAGGCTCCGGACGCGCAGGCTCAGCGGCCATGCCTCACAGGCCCAGCCGCTCCGCGGCATGTGGGACCCTCCCGGACCGGGGCACGACCCCGTGTCCCCTGCATTGGCAGGCGGACTCTCAACCACTGCGCCACCAGGGAAGCCCCCAGATGGGTATTATTATCCACAGTCACAGAGGAGGAAACTGAGGCTCAGAGAAGTTGAGTGACTTTCCTGAGGTCACACAGCTAGTAAGTAGCCTATCAGGGACTTGAACCTCAAGTCCATGCACCTTCTACCGAAAGTACTTCTTGTGGGGGAAGGGGAAGACGAGGAACCATCTCAGGGGCAGTCATGGGGAGGGGCCTTCCCCTGGGTAATGGCTAAGCTGTCAAAACAGGCAGCAGCACCCCAGCCTTGTGGAGTCATCTTCAGAAATCCCTTTATCTTTGGAACTTTAGCATCTAAGACCTGACTTCCCTCCACAACAGCATGAGCTGGACCCCATGGTGGGTAAGCCCATCCCCAGACCAGTCCCAGCCTGCCAGCCTGCCTGCCACTCTTACTGTCCTCCCCGCGCCCAGACCCACTGGTTCTGGTGGGGACCGAGGATGAAACGGGAGGCTCCAGACTGGGTTATTCCATGGACCCGCTACCTGCCAAGGCCTAGCATAGGTCAGAAATACTTCACGGCTTCTCCTGAGGACTTCGCAAACATACACATCTGGATTCATGTCGTGACTCCAACATTTACTGGTATGACACGATGAGAAATCTGGTTAACATCTCTGAGCCTTGGTGGTCTCATCTGTCAAATGGTTATGGCAAGGAGTTAATACTGAGAATAGGGCACTGGTGTCGTGCTTGGCACATAGTAGGGGCTCAAAAAACGGTGACGATCGTTATTGACATTTCTCTAGATCTGCATAATCTGGGTGGTGTCATTTACCTATAGGACTTTAGGAAACTTCCGGATTTCATTGCTGCTCTGTATTGAGAATTCCCAGGTGAGGAGCTGAGATCAGGGGCAATTCACTCACTAAGGGAACCCCCTGTGGGATCAGGAAGGCCCACAGTGGGATGAGTTTCTGCAGGGGCAAGAGAGGCAACCCAGAGGCAATGACATCACATCCCAGGCCAGTAGAGCAGCCCACCTACCCGAGGGACTGGAGCCTCCTTGGCCCCTCTGCTCACTTGCAGCCTCACTCGTGGCCCCCATGAGCAGAAAGTCCTCACAGGAGTGTGAGCCTCAAGGATGCGATGACGGCACGCTCTGCCCTGCGGCCCTTCTGGAAGGCCAGCCCTACCACTCACTGCTCAGGCCGGAAGGGGCAGGGCCTGGGACAACATCAGGTTGGTCTGCATGGGAGGGCCACAGATGCTGTGCTTAAGAGGCCGTGCTTCCCGCAGCAGGGCCAGGGAGCTGGAGGGGAGAGACCAGAAGGAAGCCAGCAGCGGGCTGGGTCAAGCTGCCAAGGGGAAAGGGGTGGGACCGGCCGGGGTAGCGGTCTTTCCACCATCTTGTGCTCCACATCTTAGGAGCCACCCCTCAGCAGGGCCTGCCACAGTGGGTCGAGGATGGATACTTAGCACGCCTGGAGGCTGAACAAAGGTCCCCTGGGAGCCAGGCCCCAGCACCCGTGCTCTCCAGCGGGAAAGCTCTCAACTGGTTTGACTGGGTTTCCAGAGTTCCCAGGCTTGGGACTGAGACCTCAGAAAGGGGCTGGGGGAGGATGGAGGACATTTCCTGGGGCTCTGGCTGACTCAGGAACTTCAAAATCTCAATCACCTCCAGCATTTGTCTTCATAAAAAGAAGCTAGTAGGGCTTCCCTGGTGGCGCAGTGGTTGAGAGTCCGCCTGCCGATGCAGGGGACACGGGTTCGTGCCCCGGTCCGGGAGGGTCCCACATGCCACGGAGCGGCTGGGCCCGTGAGCCATGGCCGCTGAGCCTGCGTGTCTGGAGCCTGTGCTCCGCAGCGGGAGGGGCCACAACAGTGAGAGGCCCGCGTACCGCAAAAAAAAACCCCCAAAAAACAAAGAAACAAAAGAAGCTGGTAAGGGGCGGATTTAAGACGTGTCTTCTGGGACAAGGTCTAGGACCTGCCAGGTTTCCAGCAAACGGACTCGTACAGAAGGTGACCAGGCCATCTCACTCACATGCCCCCTCAGCCTTGCTGGTTACAGCATGGCTGCAAATTGCATGTTATTAGCACAGTCCAGATGGTGAAGTCACTGCAGCCGTAATCCTATTTATTTCAACGACAGCTTTGGCAGAGCAGTAAGTCTTGCTGCCAACCATGTCTCTTGTGGCTGGTTCCCTGAAGGAGCTATCGTCAGACGTGACTACAGGGAGGGGTCCTTGTTAGAGCTTCAATTTGCCACTCATCACATTTTTCCTTCAAATGGAAAGTTCTTCCAGGAAAGCCTGCCTCATGGCACACTAATTTTCAAAGACGGCCTTCGCGGTATATCCTACGTTACGTACTCCTCTTGACACTCCTCCCATGAGTAGTGGTCTCTGTGCCCTCTCCTTGAACCTGGGTGGGACTTTGTGACTGCCTTGACGAGTAGACGTCACCGCAGATGTGACACTTATGTGACTTCCGAAGCTAGGTCAGAAGAACGCCATGTGCCTTCCGCTTTATTTTCTAGGGACTCCTGCTGTTGGGATCCAGCCGCCATGCTGTGAGGAAGCCCAGGCCACATGGAAAGGCTGTGTGTAGGTGTTCTGGTCCTATACTAACCACCAGCCTCTGCTCCCACTAGGTCCCAGCCAACCAGCAGCATCAACCACCATGCATGTGAGTGAGGAGACTTTCCAGATGACTCTAGGCCCAGCCAACATCTGACGGCAGCTACATGGAGGACCCTGATGAGAACCACCTGGCTGAGCCTGGCCAACCCTGAGAAGTGCAAGAGAGAATAATAAAGTGATTAGCATTGTTTCCAGCCACTACGAGTTGAGGCCATGGTTACACAGTGACGGATCAGCAGAACACCCAGGGGCAATGAGGATGGTCTTGGGCTTCTCTGCTATTGAAAGATGGAAGTACTGCCTCTTCCCAAACTGTCCTTCTCAGGTTCTGAAAATGTAACATCTGGGTGGTTGAATCTCTCGAAGCAGGATTTGAAAGTGGGAACTCCAGTTTTCAGAAGTGGGAAGACTGCTCTCTTACGTTCCCAAGGAAGTTCTTCTCTCGAACATTTCTACTGAGAGAGGTAGTTATGACGTCGTGGAAAGATCATGAGTGAAATGTCAGGTAGACCCAGTGTCTTAGTCTGCTCGGGATCCCACATAAAAGTACCAGAGATTGAGTGGCTTATTAACAACAAACATTTATTGCTCACAGTTCTGGAGGCTGGGAAGTCCAAGACCATGGCCCTGGCAGATGTGTTGCCTGGTGACGGCCCGCCTCTGGTTCACAGCCAGTGCCTTCTATTTGTAATCTCACATGGTGGAAGGGACAGGTTTCATCAGGGCACTAACCCTGTCACGAGGCTCTGTCCTCATGACCTAATGATTTCCCTGAGACTCCATTTCCTAATACCCTACCCTGGGGGGACGTAAACATCCAGACCACGGCACCCAGGTGCAAATTTCAATTCTGCCGCCTCCCGGCACTCTTGTCCTAGAGTCAGTCCCTTTACTTCTCTGTGTTTCAGGAGCCTCCGCTACAAAATGGGAAAGCTCACAGCTACCTTAGTGGATTGGCATGACAATCCGAGATTCTTTAAACCAGTCTCACCCTACAAAAAGGATTTGAGGCAGATTCTGGGGATGATCTATGTAAACTGCCTTGTGTGAGCGATAACGAATGATGTTCGTCAAATGCTTCCTGTCAGGAAAAATGTTAAGCGCTTTGCTCACGTTAACTTTTTTGATAGTCGCAATAACGTCGTGAGTTAAGTATCACTATTATCTGCGTTTTACGGATGGGGGAAACCAAGGCACAGAGAGATTACGTAACTCTCCCACACAGTAGGTAGCAGAGCTGGAATTTGAACCCAGGAAGTTTGACCCTACAGCTGACTAGGCCACACTGTCTCTCGGTAAATGGTTAACTCTGGGTTAGAGGTGCTGATGGCATAAGTGTCCAGTCCATCGTCTTCCTGAAGAACCCGTCTGAAGAGATCCAGTGCTTGAACCAAAGTGATATCAATGGTGAGATGCCCAGCGCTGGGGTGTGCTAATAGGGAAGACACGGTGTGTGTGAAAGTCACGCCCGGTGGCCCTGGGCTGCTGGGGGTGGTGGGGTGACAGACCAGGAGAGAAGGGAACAGCTGAGGAAGAGGACATTTTCAGTATCAGGACAGAAACATCCATCTGGAGCCCTCGCCGGGCAGTCAGGGTGCCGTGAAGGTGGGGAAGAGGGGGCGGAGTCATCCTGGAGAGACTGAGGAAGTGAGGCTGGTGGGCGTGTCAAGGACACTTGACATTGAGACTGGCCCTTTTACTTAGGCCGTGGGACCCTCAGTGAGTCACCTGCCCTCATCTCTAAAGTGTTGATAAATTTTGCAGCTCCCAAATGAGAGCATGTGTACAAAATGTTCAGGAAACTGGAAATGGAAGCTACCACTTGGTATTCTAGTTAGCAAAAGGTGTCTTCTTTTAAGCTTCCTAAAATAAATTTTATCTGTTTTGGAGGACAACTAACTTAAAATGAATAAGGTGCTTCCTTAACTTCTTTTTTTTTTTTTTTAAACTTCTTAAACGAGTCATTTGAATATCATTTAACTAACTTTTCTTCGTGACTCAAGTTTAATCATTATGGACACCCGTTTCCATATTGAGCTGCACAGCGATGCCGGGCTTAGAGGGCGCGTCCTGTCTGGGTGTGGCTCTGTGCCCCTGCCGGATGGCCCTGGGCTGCTGGGCTTTTGGAGTTCTGCTGATAGCCCTGGATAGGTCATCAGCCTCATCCCTTACTATGGCCATCAGCTGTCACCTCTCCGTGCTGTCAGAATGTCGGCCCAAAGCCGGTTAATGACACTTTGACTTGTGCTCCTAATCTGTTGTGATTTACAAACCAGATGCCCACAGTTATTACAAATGTTCATAAAAGCAGGGATTCCTAAGTGCAGGGTACCGAGGGGTTCAACTCAGGGTAAAGTGTGTGGGCATTAGCGCACGGGAGTTTATGACATCAATCTTGACTATTCTGAGACACTTGATGCTCCCTTTGTGAATTCCAACGGCTCCAGATGCTCCAGGTCAGCGAGGTGTTACTGTAGCTAGTGACCTGTCAGTGACTCTCTTTGATTTAGTTCTCTATTGTTATTATTATTATTTTTTAAAATATAGAACTCTTTCTTTTCCTTCCTGCAATTGGTGTTTGTTGTGATTTACAAAAGCTTCAGGGCCACCACTACTCCTTCAGTCCCACAACCTCAGTCCATGCCTCCCTCCCCAACCTTGACCCAGCCTCCTTAGGTTATACCTGGCAAGGTCTTCTAAGTGCCCCTCTATGCCCAGCACCCAGCCAGGCACTCAGTGGGAGTGTTGGAGCAGCTTGAGCCATGGCCTGCCTTCCAGGAGCTCTCTGTCTGGCTGAGGAACCAAGGTCCACACACGGAACCAGTTAGGGAACACACAGGAAGGCCAGAAGTAGAGACTGGCTGGCTGTGGCCCCATGCGGTGGGTGGGTTAGTGCCATAGGCAGTCAGGAGGAAGGCTGCTGGGACTTTCAAGGAAGGCTGTGGGGAGGCCTGTGATGCCACGTGCTGGAAGGACAGCTAATCCCGACCAGTGCTCAGGTTCCAAAGAATGCTGGCAGGTCTGCAGCGTGGTCAGGGTTCCCTGAGAGAAGTGAGGGGTGGATAGGTCAGGAAGCATGGTTGGAGCCCCTCGGGACTGGCTGATGGAGAACTTGGGGGCCTCCCTCTGGGAGATCTGGGGTTGCGATTGGGATGGGGAGAAAACCAGGAAACAAACACGAGCAGAAGGCATCTGAGCAGAGGCAGGGCGAGGAAGGGCGGGAGACAGGAAGTCAAAGTCCAGGCTGGGGGAGCTATGCGTGAAGGCAGCACGGGAGGTCAGGAGAGGGCTGAGATGTCACCTGCCCACCGCAGGAGGGGTGCCGGAGCTCCCCCAGCATCCCAGGCTGAGCTCAGACAGAGCTAGTTCAAAGCTAGGGGAACCTGCCAACAGCTAAGGCTCTGGCTGGGGCACCCGGTCACTCCAGCCTGTTGTTAATAGGCAATTATCAAAGAGAAATGGAAACAGGAAGCCTCTCATTCAATCACATCCAAATTGGTTTCAAACAGTATTAACACTTCCTCCCTCCCACACCTCCCACACTGCTCAACAAATGAGAGTTCCCTTTTGCAAATTTACAGGCAGTAGTGAGCACACTGGCACACGCACAGGGAGAGCTGGGAGGCAGGTCCTCCTCCCCACTCCGTGACCCGCCCTCCCCCAACAAAGCACACTGGTTACAGGTCAGAAACGACCCAGGTGCTCAGAGGTCCCAAGGAAGGCTCTGGAAAGTTTGCAGGACGTTCCTTGTGCTTCCCCTGACGTTGTTGGAACTCAGATGATCAGTGCACCATCCATGCCCAGGAGGCCTGGCCTCGCCCCGCGTGCCTGGCTCCTGGCCCACAGTGCTCTGCGGGCCTAAGAGGAAAGACAGCACTTGCAGGGGCCTGGTCCCCATGGGGGTTCTGGAGAGGGTAGCGTCCACGTGGAGTTCTGGCTGTTGTTCCAGAGACCCCAGGAATAGAACAGGAGGAACGGTGTGCCCACATGGCACCCAGAACACCCTTGGCCTTCTATTAAGTCCTCTTGGTAGACAGTCGCATCTCTACTTTGTTCACACGAGGCCACCCAGGCCTAGACCCGTGCAGTCACTCCTTCGGGGTCGCACAGCTGCTAAGTGGCAAAGCACACTCACTGCAGCTTTCAGGCCCAAGATGACATGCGGAGGCCGTCGGGGGACAGCGATGGCAACTGTCACTGTTTGCATTCCAGAAGGCGTCAACAAGATGTGAGGGCCCCCGGTCAACCCGCACGTCCCCAGCTGGGTCCCACCCCATAGGCTCTGCCTCCTCCCGGTATCCTGCTCGCCCAAGCCGGCCCTTCCCGGAGGGAGGCGCCCAGAGCGAGGCGGGAAAGCGCGGAGCACCCGTTGGTCCGGGGTGCAGAGGTGGCGCGGGCCACGCGTTCCCGCCCAGCGCGCTCCACCGTGCGGCCCGAGCGGGAACTGCGGGAACGGGGCGACCGGACCCTTGTCCCTCACCCGCCCCGCCAGGCCCGGCGGCGCCCCCGACCGCGGACCTCCCGACTCCACAAGCCTGATCTTCACGGGTGGAAAGAATCCGCTTACTTTACGCGGTGCGCCCTCCGTGAAGGGCGCAAACCCCGAGCGAAGTGACAGAATGGACAGTGGAGCGACCGATGCCAAATAGAGGCAGGGGCAGGAGAGGAGTATTCGGGAGGGAATGACACCAGAGACCCAGGAGGACCTATCCCAGGGGACAGGGGACTTGCAGGGGGAGAGACGAGCCAGAATGTGGCAAAGGTCGGAGGGGCAAGGCCCCAGGCTCCAGGGCAGGGTCACCAGCGGGAGGGGGGGGCAGGGAGGCCCGCCAGCGCCCCACTGAGGACTTTTCCTGGATATTAGCCTTTCTCAAACGAAAGAGGGGCGGCACCCCTGCTTCAGGAGGCATTTGATAATATGCAAGGAAATCCCGAAGTCACAAGATAAATGGGACTTGCCTTTCTTGAGTTTGCTTGAGAGTCACGTAATTAAATACATAAATTTATCTGTTTAAAAATGGTTATCTTATGGAACCGATAATGCAAAATCCCCGTGCATTTGAAGCAGAAACAGGAGGCTTCCATTGCGTTTGAGCTGTGGTGGGCTGCTTCAGGATGTGGCCCCAGGTATGAAGACACCATTCTGTCCACCTGCCCTGAGAGTATGTCTGTAGAAATGCTGGGAAAGCCCTGGGAAGTACCTGGAAGGGAGGAGGTCAGGTGGCACTGGATACAGGTCACTCTGGCTGCTCCAGTGGAAGAGAAGAGCCAGGAGTCCAGGAAAGGAACTGGGCTGTTGCCAGGTCCTCTGTTTTGACCTTGGGGCTTCCTGAAAAGGTCTTGAAAACCCCAAGAGGGCCCAGATCACTTCGAGAACTGCTGAATTAAGAATATGGTCATGTGCGCCACAGGCCTGGGAACAGATCTAGAACCCCCCCCCAAAAAAAACTGTGATGTTTATACTGGAGTTCAGGTTCCCTTTTCTCTGTTCACCCAAAGAACTTACCCTGCACTGAGATGGGCAGGGGTTCTGTTCCTGTGATGTCTGCTGAATCAGGAGACTGTAACAGGCCTGTTACTCACCGTGTTAAAATAATTCATTAAATGTAACCAGAAAAACGTATTTATAGATACAATCTGGTTCTCACTCACAAGTCATTTTCCAACACAGGGATATAAACAAAAGTATGGGATGTTAGAGTTAGTAGGACCCTGAGAATTCTAGTCCAACCCTCTCATTTTAAAGATGGAGAAGTGGGGAATTCCCTGGCGGTCCAGTGTTTAGGATTTCACACTTCCAGTGCAGGGGGCACGGGTTCAGTCCCTGGTGGGGAAACTAGGATCCCACACGCCATGTGGCGCAGCTAAGAAATAAAAAATAAAGTAAAAATAAAGATGGAGAAGTTATAGCCCAGATAATCCAATTCAACCCAATTCAGCAAACATTGAGCACCTACCATATGGTGAGTAAAGTCAAGCCGAGTAAGATGCCAGGGACTGACGGATGGGGTGTTATGTTAAATAGGGTGTCCAGAGGAAGCCTCTCTGAAAGGGGACTTTAGAGCAAAGGTCTGAAGGAAATGAGAAAAAAATCATGTGATATTTGGGGGAGAGATTCCAGGCAGAGGGAAGTGAGTGCAAATGTCCTGAGGTCAGAGGATGTCTGGCATGTTGAAGAAACAGGAAGTGACCAGTGTGACTGAGACATACAGTGGTGAGAGGTAGGAGGTGAGGTCAGGGAGGGGACAGGGCAGACCCTGTAGAGCCTAGAAGGCCCCTGTAAGACTTGAGTTTGGTTCTGAGTGAGAGGGGAAGCCATTAGAGGGTTTGAAGCAGAGCCATCACATAATCTGACTGAGAAATTCATTCTGGTCACTACGTGGACAGTAGATCACGGTTGAGGGCTGGAGTGGAAGCAGAGAGATGGGTTAAGAGGCTCCTGCATTAATCCAGACAAAAGATGATGATGGCTGGGGCAAGGGCGATAACAGAACAGACGTGAGAAGCGCTCAGAGACTAGAAACGTTTTGAAGGTCGAGTCCTCCTGAAAGCAATTAGGAAATGATATGGCTGGGGCTCCACGGCTACTGATTTCCTGGCCAACACCGCAGTGCTTTGCATACGTTATCTGTAGGTCTTACCACAACCAGGGAGGTGGGTAAAAAGAGTCCTGTTTCATAGATGAAGAAACCAAAGTGGAGAAAGACAAAAGACCTTCCCAAGGTCACCCAGCTAGTAAGCGTTTGTCTCAGAACCACACCAGCCATGCTCCAGAGCCCCCGTACCAAGGCCCTGCGTATCACTACAGACCACCTCCTCCCCAGAAATCTCAGTTGACACTGTCACGGGGCCAGCCCCAGGGGGCAAAGACTGCTGTGAACACGCCCCAAATCTCCTGCCCTAAAAAGTCCCCTTTGGTGGCTCTTGCACGTGTCTGAAATCCCCATCACTAGAGATTCTCTGAGGGGTAGGGCATTGCAGGCCATTATGTGAAAAGAGTGATTAAATCCTGATGAAGTTTAGGGTTCAAGGCCTTGACTAGGCAGCCCAGGGAAGCAGAAAGCAGAGAACCCAGAACATCACAGGAGCATGACGAACCTTGCCCCTCTCAGTGCAACCTAGGTTATTCAGATAGAAAAGCAAAGGGAACCTGAACGTCAAAAATAGCCATAGGGGCTTCCCTGGTGGCGCAGTGGTTGAGAGTCCGCCTGCTGATGCAGGGGATGCGGGTTCGTGCCCCGGTCCGGGAAGATCCCACATGCCGCGTAGCGGCTGGGCCCGTGAGCCATGGCCGCTGAGCCTGCGCGTCTGGAGCCTGTGCTCCGCAACGGGAGAGGCCACAGCAGTGAGAGTCCCGCGTACCGCAAAATAACAAAAATATATAGCCATAAATTTTTTTTTAGATTCCGGATCCATACCCAGGCCTGTGGCTCATGTGACCATATTCTTAATTCATCAGTTCTCAAAGTGGGGGGCCCCTTCGGGGTTCCCAAGACCCTCTCAGGGGGTGCCAAGGTCAAAACTGTTTTCGTAAAAATACTAACACGTTAGTTGCCCTTTTCACTCATTCT